ATATTTTTTATATACTAATCTCAAAAATAAATTTTTAAAAATAAAAAAATATTATTTTAATATATTTTTAAATAAAAAATATTTTAAATCACAACTATTAATTAAATTTGAGCAAGGCCTGCAATGCAGATGATACTTTCACTGACTAGGATATATTATTTTCAATTGACATGTAACTTGATCTAAAAAAATATCTCTTATTCATGAATAAAAAAAACATTTATCATACACACACAACTAGTTGAATTATATCTAAACAGTTTTGATCATTCAAATATAATCAAATGTATGTTGCTGTGGCATTGTAATTATGTTTTTATATCATTCCAATTATGTTCCAACAGAAATAATAAATAATAATAATAGATCTCATATTTATTAAAAAATCTTTACCTAGATTTTGTATAATTTTTATAGCACTTTGTTCAATTTGATATCAATGTTTAGATTTTTTTATAAATTTGAATTTAAAAAATTTCTATTCCAAAACACAAATAATACAATTTTTTAAAAAATATATCATATATATTTATTTTCTCAATATATATCAAAGTTGAGTTCCTAACTATTGTTGACTTTTAAAAAATTATTAATTACTGTTGGTTTCTGAGAGAAATATAATACATAATTTAACAATTATACTGTCCTTCCTATTTAAGAAAACAATAGCTATACCATATATAAAATTTTGTAAAATTTGAAAGGTATTGGTGTGGGTTGATATATTTTAAACGACACACATTTTATAAGAAATATTCAATATACATTCTAAATCAAAACTTAATAAAGTGAAGGTGTAATAGCAATTAATGCAGCTGAAAACAATACAATAAAAATAGAAAACTAAAAAGACAAAATTAAAATAAAAAATGGTTATCACGTATAATTCTAATTTGTATTTTTATTACTAGAAAAATAACTATAATGTAGCATGTTTTTCTAAAAGATTTACAACTTCTTAAATGAGCTTAAAAAATAACTTAAGCAACTAAAAAATCTTTGAAAAAAAACAATAAAAATTCTGAACAAATTAGAAAAAAATAAAATTATTAATCTTTTAAACTAAATAATAATAACTAAAAAAAGTTATATCTCCTAAAAAAATCCCTCTATATTAGGCTTTTTGGGTTTGAGAAAACCTATTATTATGTTTAAATTGCTCTTATCTCGATTATCCAACCCTTTATATAACTAACATTTACATTTGAAACATAATATTTGACAATAATATGCTTAATCTCTTTAACAATGAAATCAATCTTAGAGTTAGGAGGAGATTTAACAATTTAATTCAGAACTCTTATTTAAAATAAAATAATATCAACTATAACCCTTATCAATTTCAAAATTCTTCTTAAATATATACGAGGCACATCCTTCACAATATATTTCATTAAAAATCACCTTTGGAATAACATCTAATTTTATTTCATTCTTATAGACATCACAAATCAAGAATTTTACATTTAAATCTTCTCTTATAACATCATCCTCATCAGATTTTGATAGTTAATTTCAATCCATAAAAGAATTAGAATCATCAAAACTTTTAGTTTCAACATCGTATTAATTATGGTTAAGAAGTTACTTCCTTTAATTATATTTCTGCAACGAGTTCTTAGAATTAATCATGAATTTGTGATTATTTTTTTTATAATCCCTCCAAGCTCCTTACCTCTGTCAACTGATAGGTTAATTTTTCAATTTATCTCTGTATATCTTTTATCACCAGTTCTTCAATTATGCAATTTATCGTTACGTTTCTTCCATCACTACTTTTTGGACATTTCTTTCTCAAGGGAGAACCTCTCATCTCCTTCTACATAAACGCATTATATTTTGCTATATTTTTTTCAGTCATAGTTATTCCAACACACTTCAAAGCAAATAACCATCAAGAGCATTGAGTTATGATATCAACTAATGCAAATAAAAATAACGTAAGAAAGAAAACAAGCTAAAAAGATAAAATTGAAGCCGAATAAGGTTATCATATAGAACCCTAATTCGTATTTTTATTACTAGATAAATAGTTTAGATGTAGTTTGTCTCTCTAAGAAGTTTACAACTCCTTAAATAAGCTAAAAAAAAATCTACCTAAACAAAAAGAAAAAACCTTGAAGATAAAGAAAGATTAATAAAAGTCCATAATACATCGAAGAAAAAATTAAAATTAGCAATTCCTTAAACTATATAATAATAACTAAGATAATAATATCTCATTAAAAATTCGATTACATCATTTATGATATAAAATTTCAATTTGATTAAATAAAAATAATTTACAATAAATTAATGTTAAAAAATAATTGTAATCACCGGATAAAAAATTTATAGTGTTAAAGGAATATTGCGATTTCTAATTAGCGATAAATGAATATATATAAAAAAAACAAATTGGTGGAAATCTTGGTTAAAAAACTAATAATAATATTGTGAAATGATAATAAGCCATAAATGAACCTAAAAGTGAAAAAAGTAAAATAAATATATTTTAGAATAAGATGATGGTCTTAAGAATTTAATGGAATAATTAATATGATACATAGAATAATGAAAACAAGAAATTCGGAATTTAGTGTAGAATCATCTCTCTAGTAGTTTTACGCTATTAATCATAATTTTTAATTTAATAGTTAAACCATGCTAACATTTTACAAAGAATCTTATAATATATTAATTTATAATAAAATAAAATTTTAGAACAATCAGGTTTGGAAAGCTGCGTGAAATATTGATAACCGAATAAAAATTTAAAAAGATTTATTAAGGGTAAAATAATCATTTAAATTTAAAAGCTGCAAAACTCAATCTCTTTAACTTCCTTAAATTTCTAGCATAACTGGAAATAAAGAAGAGAAAGAGAGAAAATAATTGTGAGAGCTAACCATTAAATTTTTTTAAGAAAATTGTAGAAATTATGTAAGATGTATGAGTTAGAAAATATGAAATACCAACTAATTCATTAAATAAAGATTTAAAAGGAAACTAAATGAAGAAAAGTACAAAATTAGGGTTGTAACTCACACAAAGAGGATGAAAATTGAAAAAGTGAAAAAAACGTTGACCTGTGAGCTTTTGGAATCCATTTTATTGTTGGGTAAGAAGTTCCACTTATTTAAATAATTTTGAATGAAAAGAAATAGATTTAAGGCATAATATTTAGATTTTTGAATAAGAGTTCTTAAAAGAAATTTTAGGGAAAATATAAAATTGATGAAATTGTGAAGAAATATGTTGTAAATGATGTAAATAATGAATGATCAAAGAAATAATTAAATAAAAAAAAAGAAATAATTAGGAGTTTTAGAGAGAACCAGGATCGACCATCTTGGAGAAAAATGAGGAACATGGAAATTTAATAAATATGTTTGTAGTTGTGTGTAATTAATATGTGTTGATGTATTTATGGTAGATTGGAATGGATTTAATGAAATTATTTAGTTGTGATTAAATATTTAATGAATTTAAAATTATATAGGAAAAGAATTTAGTGAGAGATATGACTATCATTTCGAGTTAAATTATAAAAATGTGAAATAGATGTTGATGGGAAGTTTGTAAATGAAAATTGTATTTATGAATAAAAAGAAAGAAGGTCTCTAGAATAAAATTGGATTTATGAATAAAAAGAAAGAAGGTCTTTAGAATCGACCATATTATAGATAATAATTTTAAAAGTTTTGATTGTTTGTAACGAGTATAGAATTGTGATTCTGAATATAATAATTAAAAGGATGACTGGATAAATAGAAATTAAGTTAGAACTATGCATGTTAAGTAAAGTAAATTAGAAAGTATAAATGTGAAACATGAATGTTTTAATAATTTGAAAGAGTTGATAGTTATGCAAGATTTTAGTATTGTGATTAAATGAGTATATGTCGTTGAGAATTTAAAATATATATGAAAAATAAATTTAATTTTTATTATAAATGAATGACAAATGATATATTATTCCTGTCTACACAGGAGAGGCTGCAAGACCAACTCAACAATAAGAAATCATTTCACGCACTCAAATATTAGGCAAGTGTTTAATACTTTAAAATCAAAATATTATTTAATTGTGTTTATAATTATTCTTTAAATGTATAGTAACCTTAATAAATAATAAATTATTGAAAAAATTAATTATTCTGTTAAATAGGATCAGTGTCCTTATTAATGGTGTCCTTATTAATGAGTAGTTAAAAAGCTAGTACCTCGATTAATGTGACTCTTACCTTGATTAATGGGCATATAAAGATATCAATTCTTTAGTTAATAGAATTAATATCCTAGTTAATAAAAAGATAAAGATATTGATATCCTAGTTAGTTATAGAACTAGTACCCTGATTAATTAATGGGTAATAAAAAAAAATTATAATGTAGAAATAAAATAAGTATTGGTTTGGTAAGAAAAGATATTGTATTTTTAAATTATGTGACTTGCATGAATCATAAATTATACATGAAAATAATAATAGTAAATATTTTATGTATAAACTAATTATGTTGAGTATTATATAAATTTCAATTACTCATGATAAACAATGTATATCATATTTGTAATTTTATAAAATTAATGCATATTCTATTAGGTAATATAATTTTATAACCTAGTATATAAATCCAAATTAAATATAGTTGATGTATTTTAATTAGTTTCTTTAAAACCGGTAAACTAGATTTTATATTTGATTTGCATTAATAATATGAATATGTGTTGGTTTTATGCCCTAGCTAAGTTAATTGTCCCATTACTTGAAATATTTTGAAATAATAAAATAATTAATTTGCCTGAGGAAACATGGAAGACAAAGAAGTAGTTTTTGTGGTAATATATAAATATAGTGGTTAAAATCATAATATATTAACACCCAAAAAATACGCTTAAACTTACATCCATTATATATATATATTTGATTAATTGATAATATTTATTGATTGATGATGCCTAAGTGCTGGCTAATCACAGCTTGCCACGTTGAAAAACACGAGAGAATTTAAAATTATAGAGAATCTACAATATCATTACACGCTGGCAACGGCTTAAAGCAATTTTATTTCCTTATTTCCTCACGTAGACACGTCCTTATTACACACACCACAACAAACACATATTCCGAGTGGAGACTGCTCACATGACAAAGCAAATTCTCTCAACAAGCTTAGCTGAAGGCCGCGGTACATAAAACACCTCAGGTAGTAGTATTTCATAACACTAAAAATTATACTATTCTTCGGGAAACTGGAAACTGCACAGCCGCTTATTCCATGCTGGCTCCATTTCTACAATGTAGGAGGAATCCAGATATAGCCATGTGTTTGAACATAACCAGCTTTTGCCAGCAGCTCATCTGCTTCGACTGGACCCCGGCTGCCTGGTTGGTATTCCTTTGGCTTCATTTCACCATTGTCAATCCTGTGCAGAAGGGGTGTGAAGATCTCCCATGCTGCCTGATGAATGAAATGGAGCAACCATCAGATTTTGATATCCCATTTCAGTCCAGATATTTTACGAAGCTGAAACAAAATTTACCTTCAATTCATCTCTGCGAACAAAATGCTGCTGATCGCCCCTAATTCTGCAAAACCAAAATCAATACTCGTTACCAGTTCTGTTATTTATATCATTGGTTCTTAGATAACGCTAAAGCTTCTAAGCTCATTGGACTTGGACTTGCACTTAATTCAAGCATCTTTATGAACTCTCACAACAAGAGTAGTACTAAAATATATTTTTTTGAAAAAAAATTGCCAAAGGACAGAGTCATACGTGTCAAGAATCAAACGTTCATATGCCTCCGGGATGGGGACCCCTTGATAACGTTGCATATATGACAAGTCCAGTTCACTTTGAACAGTAGACATCTCGAGTCCAGGCTGCTTGACCTGCATGAGTGGCAGAGAGAAATTCAGAGGCAAGCACAAAGATACCTGAGATCTAGTGTATAATTTCTGATTGAAGATTTATGATGTCTCAAAGCATTCAGCTCACAACTAAAATTTAGGGAACGCATAGGATGATATTTCAGAGAAGTAATGCAGAATCTCTTTAGCTCTTATGACCCATTTTACTGGACAAAACATTCATGCAATTTGACAATGGAAAAGGCTTTGCATGCAATTACCAACTTAGACTCATACCGTAAGTTTCATGTACATGGCTTCTGAGGGCTGCAGGCGTATTACAAACTCATTCCTTCCTTGCTTTTGACCTACAAAATTAGACACAGGTCAAGCAATAAGATGCTTACAAGGACCAAACTAACGTATTCAGGAGCAGGGAATCAATTTTATACATGGGTAAACATTTTTTTTTATCAAAAAGAACCATTATAACTTCTAAAAAATGAGCCACAGAGGAATCAACATGGACCACAGAGGAAGTGGTGATGCTGAACTCTAAAGTTCCAGAGTCATACATTTGAAAATATCACCAGGAACATCCTTAAATTGAACACGTATCTCTGCCTTCCTTGAGTTCAATGCCTTCCCGGCCTTTAGTATGAAAGGAACCCCTGAGAAACAAAGTATGGAATCACCAATGAGAACAAACTAGCTTGCTTATTTGATCAATCTGGTGTCTGAAGTATATGTAAGGTTCCAAAGTAGGAGATTCAGAAATCATTTGCTCTGAACTGTGAAAATGTTCCAAAAATAGCAGAGTGAATGGATCCTAAAGTAAATATACCTTCCCATCTTTCATTATGTATTCTCAGAACAACAGTAGCAAATGTTGGGGTATTTGATTGATCAGGAACTGTTGGGTCATCCCTGTAGCCTTCATACTGTCCAAGAACAACATCTTCATCTCTGATTGGAAGTACTGATTGAAGAACCTGAATGTCACTGAACAATAAGTATTTGAATCGAAAGGGTACTCTTTAAGACTCAGAGCATCAACCTCTGAAGGAACAGATGACAGCACAACAGAAAATTAATTTTAAACTATATGCTTTGGTCTAAATGGACTCCTAGAGGATCAATAATTAATGTTTTTAATCCCTCAGGGAACTAACAAATTGAAGCATTTTGGTTCATGATTATCATTAAAGGGTTCCAGGTTATAAATATCAGGAGATTATGAAATGAGATAGTTGATGATCTGAAACTTATTGATGCTCACCTTCACTTTCTCATCCCGAATATATTCAGGTTTGAGAGAAACGGGCTTTTCCATGGCAACCAGACAAAGAATCTGTCATAAGTAGAACAATAGTTAGCCACAAATGAAACCCCTTTCCTTTCTCATATTTTCTCTTGACTGGTGCTACTTGCTCATGATCCCAAGTTTAAATGAATACCTACAAGATATGTCCAAGTACAAGGCTGAGCTATTTTGATGAGAAAAAAACAAATTCTAAAGTAGAAAATATTTTTATATCTGAATGCTCCAGAAAAAATGCTTCTCCTACATGCAGGGATTATTAAGACTCCAAAAAAGAAGACGAAGCATATAATAGTCCAGCTTAAACCCATTGCCCATACCTGTAGCAAGTGATTTTGAATAATATCACGAATAATCCTGCAGCAGAAAAACAAGATTATTGCTTGTGACTTCTTGATTTTGTAGTTACAGAACACCCAAAGAGCTCAACAACACAAACTAAAAGAAAACGAAAGTTTCCATAACCCTTGCATTTTCAAGAAAATATTTCCTAGTCAACTTGCAAGAAGATATGAATCAAAAACTAGCGTAAAGAAAGTAAAATTACGTATACTACTTGTTATTACAGTACGAACACTTTCCAAAGAAAAAAAGATGATGTTTCTTGGTAAGAGATCCTGCTCTATGGACGGTACAAGACACTGGTGTTTACTGAGCATACCCATATTCATCAAAATATCCACCACGACCTTCAGTTCCAAAATCTTCCCGAAACACAATCTGAAAAGGCAACAGAGGAGATGATGATTGACATTAATGAGCACTGATGCTTTTAATTAACAGAAGATACACTGGTGAAGAAGACTCTCATTCTTTGATGTTTTGAGATGATCGTTGAAATCCATAAATTCATTGCTAGGAAGTGTTTTCCAAACCATTAACTTATCAACTATAATTTCATATTCATCATTAGCATTTTTTTATTTTTTATTTTGTCTGGCACACAATAACAAAAGATGCTCACCTGAACATTGGAAATGTTGTCGCGGTTCCAAAGAGGTAAAAAGAAGCGATTTGCAAAACGGAGAACTAGCTACAAAATCCAAGCAACAAAAAGGATTAAAAAGAGATACCAACGTTGATGAACAATTAGCATTAAGTATTTCTATGAATCTTACCAAGTTCTGCACCAATTCTTTTCCCAAGTAGTGATCGATACGGTAAAGTTGTGCTTCTTCAAACAACTCTCCAATATGGGCACTAAGATTTTCTGCAGATTCCAAATCTTTGCCAAAAGGTTTCTCAATGACAATTCTAGTCCATCCACCAAGATCAGCTGGAAAGGATAACAAGAACAGCAGTCAATAAGATAAACACCAAGAAGTTCTGGTCTGCAGCAACACTGGAAATTTGACAAAGCTACTTTAACGATGGCTTTGGGAAGTCTAGCACAGTTTATCTAACCAAAGCTGGATCAAACATAATGGCAAGTTCAGTTAGCTTTCAAGGATAAATGAATCAATGTTATAATTCTAGCTACAAGAAAACATCATCTCATTTAGGGGGGTAAACTGAAACAAAAACATATGAAGATTCTCCACTATTAGCAGATCCAGTGATGGCTGTGCATAATACTGGGGCATCCAGTTATGCCAATCTGGAATGTGAGTTTTAAGGACCCCTGAAGAGACATCCTTAAGAAAATGCAGGGCGTTCAAAAATGGTAATTTAATTGTCAGTGTCTGCACAAATAGGGCAGTTCTCGCTTTCTATCTTTCTTTCTTTTATTTTGTTTTTTTCCATTCCAAAAGTGGCATTCAGGCAAATGAATTTCTTCTTGTACCTTTTCTTTTCTTCCAAGAAATACCAGATGTAAAAGAGGATATGGTAAAAGAGAGAGCGTCGGGCTTTGTAAAGTTAATGGCCAAAAAATGTTTCCATTCGATATTGGAAGCCACAAAAGCAAATTAGATCAGCAATTCTTACATTTATTCATGCAGCATTTTCTGATCATCCTGCAGACAGTTGGATACACCGAGGGGGGAAGTGCAAGATAAAATAGTCTTCGAGATGATCCTTCTGAACTTTTTTTTGATACTTCATGCTGTGAAATTTCCTTATCCAATAGCTGAAATCCAGCCTCAGTATCATAAGAACCACTTACATATTTGATCTGCAAAGTTAAAAAAGATTAATATCTTAGTGGTGCATGCCGGAACAGACTACTAAAAAACAACGCATAGAAAGAGCTATACTAACCAGTTGCAAGAACTTTGATACAACTTCAGCATCTTTGCCAAGATATCTGAAATGATTGTTCAATCCCAGTCATTTGCAATATTCATTATACTTATCAATAACCTTTAGCCAGAAAAAATGGCTGAAACATAGCCGCGGTCACAAAGTACATCTATGAACTATGTGCACCCTACTTTCTTCCTGGTATGAACTACACAAGTCCCAGCACCTTGCCCATTATTTACTCTATCACAGTGTACCGGAGTAAAAAACGAACATATTTGATAGAGCACATGCACACAGGCATGAAGCAGGCACACAAGACAGAGGCTAGGCAAGATATCTCACCCACGGATTCGATCTCTGAGTTCATCATCTGAAATCCTAGTCCTTGCATATCCGAAAATGTGGACTTCATTTGAGTGCAGAAACCCCTGCCCAACATCCCATAAAAAAAATAATCAAGAGAACTTCTCTAAATCCACAAGAGACCGTATCTTTTATTAGCAAGCAAAAGGATTTCCCTTTATTTACCTGGCGAAAAAGATGGTAGAGAGCAGGGAAAGTCTTCTTCTTGGCTAGATCACCAGAAGCACCAAGCACAATAATTGAAAGGCACCCAGTTTCGGACGCAGTCTCATGTTCCTTTGGAAACGAATCATTTTCTAAACCAGATCTCTTCTCTACCATCCATTGACCGGATCCCATGTCTTTGATATATCAAGATTTGCTTCCTTTCCCCAGCACCGCCTTTCCTGATCTGATTCGGTAACACAAAAATATTGGCTACAAAATCGAGATACTAAAAACTTGTTTCTCATAGGCCCTGTAACCTAGGTTACTGGTTTTGACCACACACAAAAACGCTAAAATTCAGTCCCTTTCCTTAGTTTTATCGAAGTTAAAACGTAGTTGTAATATAAAAGAAATGAAACAAAAGCTTTAACTACCAAAACAAAAACAAAATTCAAGCAAACCAATGTTAGACACAAACTCTCAAGTGATCTTCAATAAAAAGAAACGCAAACCTGAAATATGGGAATTGGGAAATGAATCGAATCTGTTGAGATGCTAAAGATCAACAAGTGACAAATTTGAGCCCAGAATGTGGTGCCAACTTTTCTGCCGAGATTTCAAGGAGTTGGTGAGAAGATATTTATATCATAATTCATAAGGGGACAGAGAGAGAGATTGTCTTTTTGTGCTTATACTTCAAATGTTTTGAAAAGTAGTTAAAAACAGTGCATGGTCTTACAAGGAGCAAGTTGCCCACCTAACTGTTGTAAGCCGCCATAGTGTATTCAGACCTGTACCCAGTTTTTTTCTGTATTCAGACCTGTACCCAGTTTTACACAAATCATTTCGATTATGTCCTTGCTCTTATCCTAGTGGTACAATAAATAAACAAAGGATTGGATCATGATCTTGAGAGCTCATGTTTTAATATGTTTTTGATCCAAGATATTGGCAGGTGGAGAATATATCAGAAACCACGTGTTATTTGGTGGTATATGGAATCTACCACTTGGCTTTGAGAATGTTTGGTGGGAGCAATATGCTCATATGAAGTATCAAATATAATTACATATTCATATGAATTTTTATTTTTTTTATTTTTTTTAATATGCATACCAAATCGATGCTGGGAGCATATTCTTGATGAGCTGAGAATGTTTTTATTGTCAAATAAAAATAATAATTATATATCTATACATTGATAAATTTACAAATAAAAGAGAATCAAGCCAAATCCATGATAGAAGCTTTTATATAAATGTCTTTTATAAATCCTAAAAGAGAGGGCACGGGGGATCAACCCCCGAAAGTGAAATCTAGAAAGGTGAGTGACCGGCATGAAAATACAATACCATACGAATTGTAGGCATTGCAAAAATACAATAGTATACGAACTGTAGACATTACAAGAATACGGTCTACCTGACAAGTTTAGGCGTCGGTCGGCTTCGAGACTTTCTGGTTCACGCTGCAGGAGTGGAATCAACCCTTCAATGATGAATAATAGCTAAGGCAAAACATTGATTTCAAAATATATTAGCAAACTTGAGGACCTGCATGATGAATAATAGCTAAGGCAAAACATTTATTTCAAAATATATTAGCAAAATTGAGGACCTGATTGGTCAAAGAGTAACCGCCTAACAACGCCATTAACAAAAGCTTTGACCACGGACCAATATTTGCGGCTGTGGTTCCTGGTTTGAAGAGATTTTCATAATTTTATTTGAAAATAGCCTCTCTAACCATAGTTTTTGACTAAAGTTAAAAGGAGCCGGTTGTTCTCATTAATCCGAATCAATTTAAAAAAAAAATATTTAAAATTTTAATATTTAAAATAACATTAAATTAATAATATAAACAAAGATGGTAGTTGTTAATGATTTAAAGTGTCTTTTGGAATTGTGGTTTTAATTATTTTTTAAAATATTTTTTATTTAAAAATATATTTTAGTAATATTTTTTATTTTTAAAAAAATATTTTTAATATTAACGTATTAAAATAATATAAAAAAAGAAAAATATTAATTAAAAAATATTTTTGTAAAAAAATATTTTTAAAAGATAAAATAATAAAATTTAATGCTTAGACACCTTGTCCTCCCAACTACATGATTTTGTGGTTGGTGAACGATTTTGTGGTATTGAGAGAGCCATTCAATTCCGATCACATAGTGACACGTCACTATAAACTTTTGATGAGATCTACACGGTAAGAAGACACTTCACCCAGAAGAAGAAACTGTTTAAGAAAATTGAAGAAAAGTTATAATTGATCCAATATATAAAGTCAAAATAATGGATTTGTTGGTCTAAATTATGCCTTTCAAGTGCAAATAACTGCTAGTGGACTTTGTAAATGCAATTGCAAATCTGATTATTTACCCCTTGTGGCAAGTAAACATTAGAATTCAAATTAAATAAAAATAAAATAAAATAAAATGGTGTTTCAATATTTACTAACATTGTTCATGCGCATACAAAACATCATCATTCATTTGCAATGTTCAGGATTCTTGTAGTTTTCTTAATTTATATTTCAATTATGAAACTTTGTTTTTTTTACATTTTATTCTCCAACAATTGAAATAGAAAGGAGAGATGTCACATAAGAAAAGAGACAAAATCTAATTGGTTACATTCCAACAAAAATAAAAACATTTTCATCTTGAAAATGACAGTTCAATGAAGATAGTTTGGCTTTTAAATCTGGAAAGGATGATTTTATTTTATTTTGAATTTTTAAACTGATTTGAGCATGTTTTGGGATTAAAAATTAGGTTATAAAGATTTATATGATATTATTTTTTTATGAGTTTCTTAATGAAAAAGATTTAAATTTAAATTTTTTAATAAAAAACTTAGATTTTAATTTTTTAATCATAAAAAATAATTGAAAATGATTATATATATATATCTCGACATGTGTGGAGATTTTAGGATGCTAAAGTGCCTTCTTGACATTTTAAGAGTGCTGTAAGTGTTTTTATAATAGGATGGGTTGAAAATTTAATTTTGTTTTTTGGGTTGAAATACATTAAGTTAATTATATAAAAATAAAATTATTAAATTAAGTGAAGTTGATGATACAACTCATATAATTTAATATAATTTAATGTGCTAAACTATAAATTATAAATCAATTTAATATAATGTTATTTTTTTAATTAATATTAATTTTTGGATGATCTTGCGCACACTTTAACTAATCTTATAAGCTATGAAGTTAACAATCATATCTCTAATAATTTTATGATTTATAGAACTCGAATTTATAATTTATAGGGAGTAAATATAGAGCCGGATTAATTGAATTATACCCTCTAAAATTAAAAATATCACTTTTTAATTAGTTATTTATATAACTTTTAACTTGTCAAATTACTAAATTAATTACATCATGTTAAAATAATGCTGATATAATTTAATTTGAAATTCAACCTAAATAAAAAATCGAATTATGCGGCTTGAAAGCTGGGTCTATCAAAAAGTTACTCGTGACCTCGATATTCTTTTCTATATTCAGAAAAGTCTTGATCCAAGTTACAGTGTAAGGGGACTGAAATATCTAATAATATCTATGCATGGTACAAAATGGAAAATGGAAGGAACGAATAAAAGTAAGTTTTGTAAGATTTGTTTTTAAAAAAAATATATGGATAATTACAAGAAAACCTTCTATGGTCTAGTCGGTACTTCAATTTCTTGCTGTAATTTAAAAATTAAATTTTATATCCTAAACTTTATAACACTAATAATTCATATTTTTAAAAAAATCAATAAAAAATATTTGATTATTTAAAATTTTACAATTATATTTATTTTAATGACTAAAGAGTAATTAGAGACTCAAAATACCGAAATTGTCGCCCATAAATCATTGGTGCCGACCAGCCCTTAGGGGACACTCAAGCTCACATCTCGGAAACCAATCAAGCAAGCAATGCCGATTGGGATGAAGACAATGGCAATAAACACGAAGGCGAACACCACCTGCACAAAGAAATATACTGGGATTGGAGATAGGCCGTTTGATTCTTATAAATTTTAAAATTATTAAAGATTAGATTATTAAAGATTTATATGGTTATTAATTTTAAAATTTATAAAATTAGTTGAAATTATGTACAAACTAATCTAAATATTCACATTAATAATAAATAATAAAAAATTGATAACTTTAAATGTTTATTTGCATCACAGACGAAACCAGATAAAAGGGATGATAAAAACATACCCATCGTGGAGTGGGAATTGGCTTCCAAGCAGGATGTTCCTGCTGTGGAAACTTTGAATCTGAAAGAAAATGAAAGATTTCCAGTTCCTTGAAAATCACTAGAATAAGATTACAAGTGCATTTCAACAAAATGAACAAAAAATGCAGATTCTTTGTCCTGAAAAATACTATACATCCCTTTAAAATTTGAAGTGTTCTTATCCCTCTGCCTTGCTTTGCAGGACAACAATAAAGCAGTCAGGCAACTATTCTTAACACCGGAAACGTTCTGTTTTCAGGCTACCATTATGTTTACTATCAGCCTGACAACTTCTACCAGAATCATTGTAGGTATGTCATCAATCTCATGTGCTCTAGCAGCATATAATTATGTTTGGTGCTCACCAAACATAATCTTGGCTTTACTTATTTGTTTATCGCCATGGCCATGAGCCATGAGGAGGGCTACTTTCTGACATTATACTAACGATATAAACAAAGAAAGTAGTAGTTTAATCCTTAATTAGCTAGCTCTCCAAACTACCATGATTTTGGTGGTAGTTGAACGCATTTCACAACCATAATTGTGGATAGGTGAGACCTAACAACATTGATTAAGAGATTATTTGTTTATGTTAAAAGGGATTGAGATGGCCATTCAATTCCGAGCTCATAGAAATTAAGAAGTGTATGATGGGATCCAGACAGGGTAAGAAGACACTTCACCCAACTTGAACGAATCAAAGGCAACCTAAATGCAAGATATAGCAACAAATGAAGAAACTCTTAAAAGAAGAAAGAAAAATTACAATGATCCTACGACTTTTAGATTTCGTGGCGGGTGGGTGTTAAATTGTATTTATTTATTTAGTTATTTTTGTTTTTTTGGTATTTATTACTTAACAATGTTCCAAAATATTCAAATAAATTAAAAATAAAATTATCGAATTAAATAATCAATTAATCAGTTAATTCTAACAATCTTATCCTTTCTTTCTCATCAAAATAATTAATAGCTTATACTTAGAGTTTAATAGACCAAAATAACTTGTAGCTAATATTTATAAAAAATCTAATTTAATAAAGATGAAGCCCTTCAATACTTAAATAAATATTTTTTTATATAAAAAATATAATTATATTGTAAAGAAAAATACTATAAAAATAAAATCGTAAACTTTTGACTTAAAAGATTCACAGTACATTTATAGTTTATATATCTTATTTTTTTATAAAAATAAAAAATTAAAATGTAATTTTACTTATATAATATTATGGGTTATATCCTACTTAAAATAATATATATTAAATTAATATAAAATATTAAAAAATGAAAAAAATCCATAAATAACTTGTAATTAGTAATGAAATCATCCATTTTTGGTATACCTACTAATTTCTCAATGGGCATTCCAGTTCTAAAAATGGACAGGCAAAGCCTCTCCCAAGCCCATGCCCTATTAGCCAAGCGTACTTCCCGAGGGATGCAAAACCGTGCCACCAAATTTTTTTGCCACGGAGACCTGGTGCCTCCCGGCCCAAAATAAAGGGGCCTCCATTCCTACTTCAGCCCATAACGTTTCCTTTAGCGGTCACCAGTCACTTGCCCATGCTCTGTTGCGGATTGGTCTCAATTTTGTTTTTTCAAAGCAAAAAAATATAGATATTGGCGAAAAAGATATGATGCGTGAATTCAATAAAATAAATTGTGATTTATATTTAGTAATAAATATTAAAAATATTTATGGCTAACAAAAAATTGAGCCAGCATATTAATAAAAAAAAATATTAAGATATTTAATTGTATTATGCAAAGAGCTCATCAATTCTTTTTTATTTAATTATACAAAAATAAATTGTTTATTTAAAAAAAATTATCTCAACTCTATTGACCAAAAAAAATTATTAAAACAAAAATTGAAAAAAATTCAACCAAAACATTCTTTTTTTTTTAACTTAAATTAGCTAAAAATATGATAAGAAATAAAAAACAACTTGAATTGAAAAATTCTTTGAGGCCCGTTCTATTTTTGTAGACAAAATAAAAGTTAAAAAAACACCTAAATAAAACTCCTTTAATTTTTTGTATCATAAAAATCAAGTCAACTAACCATTTTTTCTCTTATCCTGTTACTTGGCACCTCTTTCTTTCTTTTCTCTTAAACATAGGAGTTGAAATGTAATGAAAATAAAGTTTAATATCAAAATATTAACTTGTCAAACTGAAAGGACTAAAAATGATTTTGGCAGTACTGGAAGCAAGGAGCATTATAAACAGTTGTAAAAAAATCCTGCATTTTGTAGACAAAATAAAAGTTAAAAAAACATCTAAATAAAACTCCTTTAATTTTTTTTATCATAAAAATCAAGTCAACTAACAACCTTTTCTTTTATCCTGTAACTCGGCACCTCTTTCTTTCTTTTCTCTTAAACATAGGAGTTGAAATGTAATGAAAATAAAGTTTAATATCAAAATATTAACTTGTCAAACTGAAAGGACTAAAAATGATTTTGGCAGTACTGGAAGCAAGGAGCATTATAAACAGTTGTAAAAAAATCCTGCATTCTTTCTTCAAGGTCAAATTGGTCCCCATACTTATTATTTTTATGCAGGATTTAAAACTGAAGCATCAACTATTGTAGGAATTTTATTTTGACAACATATCAACCATATAAAAAGAAAATTACCGATCTAGTCCCCTCCGAAGCAATGCAAAGGGGCTAAATTAAAAAAAAAATGATGACAGGGAAAAGAATTTTAAAGGGCAAAAAAAAAAATTCACTGTGCGTACCTTCAGAGTGCACTGTTTTTAACACACCCTTTAAATTTCTTCTGAATAAAGCCATCTTCCTTGAAGCATTTAATGTGACTAGCTCAAACTAGGCACCTGGGAAGGTTGAAGGGATGGGTAAAAAACGCAGGACAATGAAGAAAATATATAGGACATGATCACCGATGGAAAACATAACCCGTGAAGCAAGCGCATGGCACTCAGAAGGACCACGGCATGGCGGAATTATGAGCAGTATTTACAAGATTGTCAGTGTGGAGAGCTCTTACAAAGGTCACTTCCTCGTTAATGTTACGAACAATCCTTCTATTATGGATTGTATGAGTGTTGAGGCCACAATTCGGATGTTCATCTGCAGCAAAAACAGAGCCAGGATTTCGGATGTTCATCATCTGCAGCAAAAACAGAGCCAGGATTTCGGATGAATCAGTATATTGGGAGGGAGAACTTTCCATGTAAGGAAGGGAGAAAAGAAAGGGTAATGAAGAGCTCACTTGGAAGAATTTGTTATTGCTGCATGTTTTTAGGCGCAATTGGAAGAATTTGCCGATAATTTGGGATAACCTCCCTACCTCTCATTTCTATGAAACCAGCAGTAATTAGGCTACTCAACAGTCAACTACTCAATCAATATTATATCTTCTTGTTTCTAACCTTTTTAGGCATTATTGAAGTTCTATTCTAAATAGTGTTTTATAAAATTTATTTTTTTTTTATATTTTTACATCGTTTGTACATATTAATATAAAAAATAAAAATAATAGTAACTAAAATGTAAAAAAATCACAACACTTTGTTAGTAAATTATATCTTCTTATTCTAAATCTTTTAGGTGTTATTTGAAATAGTGTTTGTTTTATGAAAAAAATTTAAAAATTTAAATTATTTTTTTATGTTTCAGATTATTTTAATATATTAATATTAAAAATAATTTTTTAAAAAACATAATTAAAAAGAAAAAAAACGCCAACACTTTGTTAATCAATTAATATTAGTCCATGTTAAAATTAGATTTTCTTTATCAATTATAAAACTACTAGGGGTGTGTTTGATTGCAGGAAAGTGAATTCCTGGAATTCACTTTCCTGTTTTTCCCATGTTTGGTAACAATATGAAAAAATAGTTAAAGGAAACTGAATTCCAGTCAAATTAAAAATAATAACGTTACCAAAGGAAAGTGTTTTCCTTTTGTTAAAGAAAGGAAAACACTTTCCTTCCGTTCATTTTCTCAGACACAGCTCCCTAAAAACTTTTTCTCCAAAAATCGCAGTCTTTTTTTCTTCAAAATCAATTGCAAACTGATCAGGAACAAGAATATTTTTCGGATCTAAACTTCAGGTATTTTTTTTCCTCTTTATGTCCTTTATGTTTTTATCTTCTTCTGCGTAGATCCAAATCTGTAAAAATAATAGCATAAATCTTTGATAAATCTGCTATTGCTATTGTCATATTTTTTCCATAACTTTTCAATTATCTTGTCACATTCAACTAATCAAGCAAGCAACCCAATTTTTATACATTTTTTCTGCTACTGTTTTCATGAATCATAACCACACAGAGACAACAAACCGGGGAGGGGGGGAGATTGTGAACAGAGATAGGCAAAATAGTAACCAAACAGAGAGACAAAACCAGGGGAGGGGGAGATTATGAACAGAGAGAGGCAAAACAATAACATAACCAAACAAAGAGACAAAACCGGGGGGGGAGATAATTGCGAACGGAGAGAGGCAAAACAGCGAGGGGCCGATTTCTGTCAACAGTAAGGCAAAACAGGGGGCGATTTCTGTTAACATGGAGAGGCAACGCGGTGGGGAGGGGATCGATTTATATGAACAGAGAAAGGCCAAAACGGGGGGGCGATTGATTTCTGTGAGGGAGACCAAAACAGTGGGGGCAATCGATTTCTGTGAGGGGGTGATCAATTTCTGTTATATCAAAACGGGGGGGAAGGGAGGCGCGGTCGATTTCTGTAAAGCGGGTGAATTCTGCTGGGGGCGATCAATCTTTGCAAGAGAGACAAAACGGGGAGGGGGGAATTGGGGGA